GTCTCAGTCTCATCCAAGTTAAAGATTCTGAGATGTTCGCTGTTTTGATGCTCTTGACAGAATCTATACATACAGAGGCAGTCAGGAGTTTTATAGACTGTCTCTCAGTTTGGGTTGGCCAATTTTCTTAATGTTAGATTGGGTTACAGACTTTTCAAAGGAAGTCCACAGAGTGCCATTCTTGTCCATCATATCAGGATGTGTGTGTGCTAAACAAGAAGCAGCATCCAAATGTCTTTTAGCAACTCAGTTAATTGCCAGGCTTATCCATTATAAATCTACTTTATCTTCTTCCCACACTGTATCTAGAAGCAAGTCACAAAGCACACATTTCAGAGCTATAATGCAGTACTATTTGTTTATTTTGTTGCTCAATTTGTTTCAGCTTTGACTAGTGGGGGCTCTTTCAAGCATGTCTCTGACATACTTCTGACATAAACTCATCATTATGTGTGTTTAAACACTTTCTTATTGGCCTCCCTGGTGGCATAATGGGTCAGGACATGCAGTACTGCAAGCCAGCTGCAGCCGCTTCGGTGCAAGTTCGATCCCTGGCCCCGGAGGTGAGCCATGTACCAGAGCAGACCTCTTCTGTCTTGCCCACAGCAGTGTACTTTGTTGATCTGCTTGTTCTGCTCCCCGCTCTGTCTCTGGTGAATTCTCTCTCACCGCCCCTGCACCTCTGGTCTGTCCCCCAATTCTGTATGCACAAATAAATAAATCTTCAAAAAAAAAAAAAAAACTTTCTGATTTTCTGGTGCTCCAGGATTATCTTGTCTATTCTTCTTCCCCAGTCTTAGAAGTGGCCACTTATCCTTTTATTGGAGAATTATATTAGAAATGGCAATCTGAGGGCCTGAGTGTTGCCACTAGACTCATTATTTCTAGATGCTCTCAGTTGACAGAACAATGAAATACATGTAAGTACTCTGACGCATACACACACATCTGTAGCTTTTGTATTTATCTATCAGTAAATGCATTAAATTAAATATGAGTTCAGGGTAACAACTAGATAGAAAAAGGCACAAAATGATGTAAAAATAAACTATTATATTATAAAAAATATGAGTTCATGCTGATGTCTTACCCGAACACATTACCATGTTTCACTTTAGCCTTTCTCTTTGTGTTTATCTATAATCTCCAAGTCCAGCAATGGGAACTTGGCTCCCACCATCCACCAGCTACCGTTCTTTTATTGATTTGTCCAATCGCAGTATATACGTACAGTGGATTCTAATGGTGCCCAAGTTACCATGGGAACATACCTTTATAAGTATTGTTCTTTTCAGTCTGTGAAATTGTGTTTCATCACACAGATGTGGTCTATTTTTGTGACTGTTCTGCTATTGTTGGGTGGAATGTTCTATTTTATTCATGTCAATTAAATCAAATCAATTGATTGTGCTGTTCAGGCCATTTATATCCTTTCTGATTTTCTTCCTGTTTGATCGATCAGTAACTAACTAGGTTGTGTTGAAGTCTCCATCTGCTAACAGCTTGTTTATTTCTGCTTTCAGTTTTATCAGTTGTTGCCTCATATATTTTGATGCTCAAGTCTTCCCTCCTGTGCCTTCGGATATATCTGTTCTTCATGTCCCTTACCCCTATGGCAACACTCAATACAGTGTTACTATTAATGCTTTAAGCCCAGTTATCTTTTAAATCAATTAGGAATAAGAAAAATACAATTATTTTACCTTCATTGACTTTTTTCTTACTCTCTGCCTTCCTTTTTATGGATCCTATGGTTGAGCTATATCAATTTACTTCTGTGTAAAGAACTTATTTTAACATTTCTTTCATGGTTTCTCATAGGAAGTTAACCCTATTCTCTCCTGGTGATATTGCTCTCCATCACCACTGACCTTCTTCAAATTTTCTTCTGTCTTTTGTTTCTGTAATTTGATGTGATATGTCTAGGGGTGTGTGTGTGTGTGTGTGTGTGTGTGTGTGTGTGTGTGTGTTTTGTGTTTACCTTATTACTGATTGGTATTGTCTGAATTTCTTACATTTGTGTTTTGGTGCCTATTATTAATTTTGGAGAGTTCAACGCTTTTTATGACCCTTTCTCTTTCTAGTTCTGGTATCCCATTTACATGCATACTACTTCTTTTGCAATGTTGCTCTGTTCTTGGATGTTCTATTCTGTGTCTTCTCCCAGTTAATTTTCTCTTCATGTTTTCAATTGGGATATTTTCATTCATTTTCTTCAAATCCAATACGATTTTTACTCTGACTTTTATTGCGACAAAATATACATTACATAGCTTACCATTTTAGCCATTTTTAATATACAATTGAGAGGCATCAAGTACATTCACAATATTGTCAAACATTACACTATACACTTCCAGAACTTTTTCATCATTTGAAATGGAAATTCTACCCACTGAATAATAAGTCACCATTCTGCCCTGCCCTGCCTTCCCATCCCTCACCCAACTCCCAGCTTCTGGTAATCTCTGTTATGTTCTCTGTCTCTATGAAGTTGTTTATTTGAGTTTCCTCATGTAAATGAAAATATATGACATTTTTCCTTATGTGTCTGCCTTATTTCACTTATGCAATGTTTTCAAAGTTCAACCATGTTGTAGTGTGGGCCAAAAATCATGACTTTTTGAGGCTGAATAATATCCCATTGTATGTTTTTCCCACAGTGATGCACATTTGGGTTGCTTCTATCTTCTTGACTATTTTGAATAATGCTGCTATGAGCATCATTAAGTCCCTGCTTTCACTTTCTTTGGATATATATTTAGGGGTATTGGTCAAATGGTAGATTACATGGTAATTTTTTGTTTTATTTTTTAGGTACCACCAAGCTGTTTTCTATATAGCTACACCATTTTACAGAAATGTATAAGGATTCTGGCTTCTCTACATCCTTGCTACACACTTGTTATTTCCATTTTACTGTATATAATAGAAACCCTAAAGAATATGAACTGGTATCTTGTGGTTTTGATTTGCATTGCCTAAAAGATTAGTGCTGTTAGGAATCTTTTTGAGTGTTTCTTGTCATTTGAACATCTTCTTTGGAGAAAAATTTACATCATTTCCACCTTTAAATAGTTAGTTGTTTATCTTTGAATTGTAATAATTTTTTGTATATTCTGAATATGAATCCTTTATCAGACATAATTTGACAATTTCTCCCATTTTGTAGGTTGTCTTTTCACTTTCTGGAGAGTTTTCTTGGATGCACAAAAGTTTTCATTTGGATGAAGTTCAAGTTACAGGATTTTCTGTTGCTTTTTATGCTTTTGTAACAAAGATATGAAACCATAGCCAAATTCAATCTATTAAAATCTTCCCTTTGGATTTTCCTCAAAGATATTTATAATCTTAGCTCTTACATTTAGTTTTGATCCTCCTAAATTAATGTTTTTAACATGGCATAAAGAAAGGGTCCAACTTCATATTTTTACGTATGAATATTTAATTTTCCTAACATCATTAGTTGATAAGATGACCCTTCCTACATTGAATGGTTTTAGAATCCAAAGCCCCACATATGTGAGGGTATATTTCTGGGCTCCCAATCACATTCCTTTGCTCTACATGTCTCTCCTTATGGTAGTAAAGAATTTGATCACTATAACTTTGTGGTAATTTTTAAATTCAGGGAGTGTGAGTTCTCTAAACTTGTTTTATCTTTTTCAAGATTATGTAGGCTATTCAGGATCCCTTGAGATTCCAAGTGAATTTTGGGGTGATTTTCTCTACAAAAAGTTATTAGGATTTTTCATAGAGATTGCATTATATCTGGAAATTGTTCTAGGCAGTATTGTCATAGTAACAGTATTAAGCCTTCCAAAACCCATGAATATGGATTGTCTTTCTACTTATGTTTATCTTTCTAATTTTTTCCAGAAATTTTTTCTTAGTTTTCAGTGTAAAATTCTTTTGCTTCATTGACTGAATTTACTCCTAAGTATTTTTATGCTGTTGTAAATGTATATTTGTTTATTATCTTCCTTTTAGGATTGTTCATTGTTAGCATACAAAAAAAAATACAATTGATTCATGTGGTGTTTTTTGTCTTACAGCTTGGCTGAATTAATTTATTAGCTATTACAGTTTTCTTGTGTTAGAATTTTCTACATCTATGAACATAAATATGAGTTGTTAATAAATTCTCTTTATTATATTGAGTAAGATTCCTTCTATTTTTAAGCTTGTTGAATTCTTTTACCATGAAAGGTGTTGGATTTTGTCAAATTGTTTTTGTGTCAGTTGATATGAGCATTTGTTTCCCCCTGTTTATCTTACTAATGTGGTATATTGCAGTTTGATTTTGTATGTTGCATTTCAGGAATAAGACTCAATTGATTTTGGTGTATAATCCTTTTAAAAGTAATCAATTTGTTCACATATAAATATTCATAATATTCTCTTATACTCCTTTTAATTTTTGTAAAATTGGTAGTAACATATCCTTATCCATTCAGACTTTAAGTCTTTTCTCTTTTAGACTCAATTAGTTAAATATATGGCAATTTAGTTCATTTTTTCAAGAAAACAACTTTTGGTTTTGTTGACTTTTTCTTTTCTCCATGTAATTTCTCTCCACTCTAAGCTTTAATATTCCTATTTTTCTATTACTTTTGGAACTAAGGGTACCAGCCAGAGGTGCAGGGGAGGTGAAAGGCTTCACCAGAGACAGAGTGGGGAGCAGAACAAGCAGATTGATGGAAGTACACTGTTGAGGGGAGCAGTGGGACAGGTCAGGAGAGGTCTGCCACGCCATGTGGGTCACCTCTGGGCTGGGGACCGAACTCGCACTGAAGTGGCTATGGCTCACTTGCAGTGCAGTGTCCTACCCCTTTCGACCACCAGGGAGGGCCCTTCTCTATTTCTTAAGGTAAAGGTGTAATTTATTTGGGGTCTTTCTTCCTTGAAGTATGCATTGTAGATGTAATTTCCCTCTTAACACTACTTTCTCTACATCCCACACATTTTTTTGTATGTTGAGTTTCATTTTCATTTGTCTCAAGTTATTTTTTACTGAAGATCCCTGATTCTGTATCCAACCAAGTTGAGTCAGCTGATTAACCCCTTGAAGGAACTTTGCATTTCTGTTCTTGATTTCTGGCATTTTCTTTTGATAGCTTTCTTAGAACTCTGCTATTTTATATTACTACCTACTCTTGCTTGTTATCTACTTAGTCATTAGAATTTTTAACATATTAATCATCCTTACTTTATAATCTTTATCTGATAATTCCAACAACTAGGAATCTGATACTGATGATAGTTTTGCTCTTTGTTTCTTCTTAACTTTAGTAGACTTAGCATTTTTGCTGAAAGTCAGAGAAATTGTATAGGGTAGTAAATAATGAAGCAAATAGATTTTTAATGTAAGTAAGCAAATAGATTTTTAATGTAAGAGTCGGTTGTTTTAGTATTCATCATAGCTATAAGCATCAGAAGTTTCTAATTATTCTGTTGAGCTTCATATTTTCCTCCCTTTTTTGTTCTTTTTGTTTTTCTTTAGAGTCTTTGTATTGTGACTCTTTTAGTTGTAATATACTGCTATTATGACTGAAAAGTTTATTAGTGTGTGGGTGAGGTAAGGAGGGGAGGGACCTTCCTTCATTTTCTTAATATCTAATTAGGTCTCAGTTTTTTGTGGGTGTGTGCCTCTTAAGTGGGACTATTCTTTAGAAGTCTGTTCAGACCTAACTTCCCAGTATGATTTCTTAAAGTCCTTTCCCAATTGTGTGTGTGTGTGTGTCTGTGTCTATCTGTCTCTCTCTCACTCTCTCTCTGTTCTTTTTCTTAGACAGGGAGGCTGGCATGCTCTGGAGTGGGATGAGTTCCGTTCCCTTAGATCTGGAAAGGTTTCAGAACAGTCTCTGGGAAAGTTCCTCCCTTGTGCAGTAGGCCTACTAGGGAGAAAAATCTGGATGATTTCACAGTAGCTATTCATCTTTGCCAGGTCCATGAGGGAATCCTTATTCTCACCCTAAAAACATAATGTGGTTCTTAGAAGAATAACCTGTGAAAATGCAGGCCCCTCCACTTACTTTCCAGCCCCCCAGTGCCTCACTTAACCTGCAGTAACTTGTCAAGCTGTTCTTCACTACTCCTGCCAGCTCTCAGCATCATGCAGCTTCTGCCCCAGGTCTCAGTGGGGGTGCTTCTCTGATGTTCCTGTTGCCCCTGGTTTCGTGCAACTTATTTGTTCTGCAACCTCAATCCTCTAATAGGTCCAAAAAAATCATTCACTTTCAGTTGCGCAGTTTTTTCGTGTAGTGAGGATGGGAGCAACAGTTTCCAAAGTCTTGACATAATAACAAAACCACATTTCTCCTCCCAAAGGTACATACGTGTGTTTACTATGGAACCCAGACCACTAACATCAGGGCTTAGAGGCTGGGCCTGCATACGAAAGGTGTCTCTTCATGGCTGAGCTAAGTTTCATAGTTTGAAGAGAGCTTTATTAGGAAACATTTGGGAGAATAAAAGAGTGACTGCTGCATTGTTGGTCACACCAAAATGGGAAATAACTGGAATATCCAGCCCCAGAAAGATGTTTACATTAATTGCTGCTTAGAGGAGACTGCTGTACAGCTACCCAAGAGCATGGAGAAGCTAACCTGCCACTGACACCAGCTAAACCCAAAGAAAAGGCGCATGATATGCTGTGCAACAGAAGTGATCACGGTTCACGGGCGTCTACGCAGTGCGCAGAGCAGCATGGGAGATCACATAGTGGCTGCATAAGATAGGCCCTGCACGAGGCACTGTCTGACACGGCTGCACTTTTTGGGAATTAATTTTGTAATCAAAGCAACAGAGTAAAGAAGGAAGAAAAAGGGCTCACTCTTCATTGTTTTTCCTCTGCACTCTGAGTTTTGCACCCTGTGTATTTATTCCCATTCCATAACAATTTTAAATTAAATGTAAAACCAGAAAGGTCAAACATGCCCTGACTTATCTCACAGGCTCTTCCCCTGCCAGGGTTGGGTCAATGCTTACTGCCTGCTCGCTCCATGCCCTCTGGTCACCTCCCAGCCATGCTGCTGAAGGGCTCAGGCCCCTGCACCATTAGATCTGCTAGCAGGCTGCTTGGCTCCCGGCGAGCATCTTCCAGCTCACAGGTTGGAAGGCACAGAGCACAGGCCCCCATGCAAACCTTGTGTGTGCAAGGTGAGTCACTCAGTCTTTGTACACTGGTGACTACTGGGCCTACTTCTCAGCATTTTGCTTCATCTATAAAAAAAAAGAAAAGAAAAGAAAATTCCTACAACCTTGAAAGCCATGTATGAACAAGAGGTTAGAAACAACTAGAGTTCTGAAAAGGCCCCAGCAAGGCCTCGTCCATGTCCAGTGTCAGGTGAAGTGCTGGTCCCAGAAGTTGGCCTGTAGTTCCCCTTCCCCTCAGTGGGACATCTGGAGACCCTTGGAACAAAGCACACCCACTTTCTGGGGAGAACAGCCTGAGGAAAAGGTGTAAGGAGGAGGGCTGAGAGAGCCTCAGACCCACTGAATACAGGATGATCACATTGTCTGCCTCCATTTTTCTAGCAAAAGGTACGTGCTAAACCAAGGAAAAGGCTTATGATACACTGAGCAAGAAAAAGTGATAATGCTTCACGTGTGTTTATGTGGCTCCTCTCCCATTGCTGAATGAAAATCTGAGGTGCTAGGATCGCTTACAATGTGTCTAGGGGCACCAGTATCCATAGACCAGGCCTGCATGGCCCCTGGGTTCGGAATCCCCTTTGGTCTTGCCTTCTTCACCACAGACCCCCAAACCTGGCCTGGCCTCAACTCTTTGGTTCCTGCCCTTTCCAGGACCTGGGTTATGTTTTTTGCCCATTACCTACTCTCTGGACGCAAAGTTGGCAAACAAGAAGAAATCAGAAAAACAGCGATCTCGGGGTATTTCATTTTCTCACAAATGTTTACTAAGCACTGACTTCAGCACAGCACAGCCCTTGAGCTCCCAGCTTTCACAGGAGAGCACGCGCCCAAGACAGGCATGTCTGCTCTCAGAGGAGGAGGCATGGCCTGCGGTGGGAGCGCCATGCTGGGGTCTGGTGAAAAGATGACCTTGGAGTAGAGGTGGACGTCACCCACCAATCCCACACAGTAGCTGTGCAGGCCACACCTGGGCTCTGTGCTTCAGTTTTCACATTTCAGAAATGAACACAGCAACATACATTGTTGATCTAGGTTGATGCTGGGATGGGGTGAGTTCTTCACCACATAATCTGCTCACAGCAAGGTTTGGAGATGCAACCATGACCATGGGTCCCAGGATGAAAGTGCAAGTGTGGCCCGAGGAAGCCTGGCTGCCTTGGCTCAGTGTCCCAGGCTGGGCGGCCTGCTCTAGAGTCTTGGCATGGACTTTTGAACTTACAGTGTGCGGGTTGCCTCTTGTACACAGTAGGGCCAGTGAGCATTAGCTATACTAACATGAAGCCTCAGGCCAGGGGTCTGATGGCTCCCCTCTGCCCAGACCTCCTCTCCTTTGCCTCCTTCATTCTCTGCTGGTCTTTCCTGTAGAAATTATCCACAGTGTACCATCCTTTCCACTTCACTGCAACCCATTGGCTGGGGAAGCACCCAACACAGACATGGTGACCTGCTCTCCTAAAGCCAAATGGCCCTTCGCAACCATGGGGGCCACCTCCTTCTCTGAGATCCTGGGTGTATGGCTTTCTGGGCTGGGGTTGGGACAGCCCCATTCACAGGTGTGTGTTCCTGAGGGGAAAGGTGGTGTTGCTGACAGCAGGGGAGGTGAAGAACATGATGGTTGGGGAGAATCAGCTTTTCCCAAAGAGCACTGTGCATTCCATGAATTCACCAACACCCATCATCCAGGTGGCAGAGTCTGGCTCCGGCAGGGTCACTCAGTAACATACGGCATCTCTGGTTCAGGGCTCTTGCTGATGCTGGGCAGATGTTGTTGCTTCTTCCCACCAAGAAGCTCTTCAGGCCCCAGTGCGCTGCAGCTGCTCTTCCTGGGGCATACCTGAGCCAGGCTGCAGTTCCCACCCCACTCATCTCCCACACGGAGCCTCTCACCCCTGAGCCCTGGATGCTCCGTGCACATATACCTTACCCTTGACCCCTGCACAGGTTTGCTCTACTTCCGGTTCACAGTCCATACCATTTCCTTCCTTTCAGTTTCAAGCCCAGGCTCCCCTCTCTGACATGTTGTGCAGGCTGCAGTCAGTTGTCCCTTCACAGTCAACTCCCCACATCAGACTGTGGGGAAATCAGTGAGGCACCCTGCATTCGGATTGTCCCGTGCCGCATCTGAATTGAGTTGCAGGTTCAGGCATGGACACTCCTACAGAAAACACCTGACCCACTTGTCTGAGTCCTACTGGCCCCCTCCCCCAAACACAGTCCTCACATCTGGACAAAGGGTGGAGATGTGGATCTCAGGTTCTCCTCAATGAAGCCACAAAGACAGCACCGAATGAGTGCAAGCCTGTGACTGGACTGCTCCCTCCTTCCTCATTGGGAGGCTCATTGGGGCAGCTCTCTGGGGTACTTTCAGTGGGGCCCCTCCTGTTGGCTATTAAAAGTGAGACACAGGATACCTGGCAGGAGACTCCAGGGGCCCGACGACAGAAGCAGGAGCCAAGCAGGAGCCAAAGGAAGCTAGGAGTCCAGCTGTGCCCTGCGGGCTGCCTGCCCCATGGCCCTCGAGCTAAATCTCAGGGGCTGGTCCCCTACAGTGGCCTGGGCCTGGACGTCCAGCCTAGTGGGCTCCATCCTCAGCTGGCTCAGGTTCAAGACACAGCTTGGGCACTTCTGGTCTTGCAGAGTGTGGAATGGGCTGGACGGAGAGGGCAGACCGCAGACTGCAGCCATGCTCGGGGAGCTGTTAAATTGTTTCTGCTGCTGCAAGTCTGCATCCCTGGCCTGAGGCTGTCCACAAATCCCACTGCCTGTGTCCTGCCTGGGGGGCTGTGCAGCAGGGTGCTGGCCATCTGGGTGGATTTGCAGGGCTGCCATCTGGGCCACAAAGCTTGTCAGAGTGGGTTCTGCATCCAGGGTGCTTCCCCCAAGGCCTGGCCTCCAGGGACCTTGGAAATACCCTAGGTTCCCAGGTGACCTGGGCCCTTGGGAGCTGGACCAGGCAGAGGGGCTTGGGACCTCTTTTTTGCCAGAAGTATCTGTTGCTTCGGAAATTGCAGCTGCCATAGAGAATAAGCCTTTAGGGTGGCCTTGTGTCTCTTCTTCCCTAGATACAGGCATATACTCCAGATAGGGGTCCCTGGGTGGAGGAGTGGCCCCCTGCTTGGCACCCACTAGGACCTTGCTTTCTCCAGCAACTGGGTCCTTGAGACCTGAATGTCCCCACAGCTCCTTCCTGCTGGCTGATGTGCCCGAGGTGATCCTACCTGCATCGGAGGCCCGGGACCCCCTGTCTTCCAACTTCACTGGATCTGGGCCCAGCTTTCTAGAACCAGCTCCCAGCTTCTCTACTGGTCCCTTGGATGGGACTGCAGACTCCATGGGGGTGGAGGCAGGCGAGGTGCGGAGCTCGGGGCCTCGGCGGAGCCAGTTGATGATACCCATGGTGATGGCAAGCTCCGTGTCACAGAGTTTCAGCAAGCACTCCTTGCCCTTCCAGGAGCTCTGCAGGAAGCCCTGGCTAAGCAGGTCTGGACCTGGAGCTGGGGCCAGGTTCTCTTCTGCTCCCACATGGAAGCTGCACATAGATAGCTGTGCCCCCAGGGCTGGTCCTGACAGGCTCTCAGACACACACAAGTCATCGTCCAGGCTTGGCTCGACAGGGCCCTGGCTGGGGTCATAGAAGAGCTCATAGAGGGCATCCCCACTGTAGCTGTCCCGGGGGAAGGCGGCCACAGTGGTGCCTGGGCTAGGGGCCTCCTTCTTGTCTTCTTCGAGGCCCGGTGAGAAGGAGTCATAGTAACCCTCATCACTGGTGGACACAGATTCTGGCTGCTCACTCTTGGGGGTGCCCGTGTCAATGGAGCTAGCTTTTGAGCTGTTGTGGGGGTCCCTGCAGGAGCACAGGGGGAGCTCAGCGAGCCCAGCTGCATCCAGCCTGGGTGGACCTGTGTCTGTCCCCTGAGAACCCCCAAGCCACGGGCCCAGCAGGGCTCGCTGCTGCTGCTTCACAGAGTGATTCACACTCTCCCAGAACTTGGCGAAGTCAGACATCTCGTGGGCAGGTGAGGCCAGCTGCTCGGCGCTGCCCTGGGAGGGGCCCCTGAGGACCTTGCTGTCCTGTGATGTCCCTGCTGGGCTGTTCAGGCCCTCATTCAGCTCCAGGGATGGCACCGAGCTCTCATCTGCAAAGATCTCCCCACAACCTGTGAGTGAATCGAAGCTCTTCAGGGAGGCCACATCCTCACACAAAACCCTACAGAGGTCAAAAGAGGAGTCAGGCTGGAGCTCACTGTCAGACAGGTCCTGGAACTGGAAATCCCGCCCCAGCCCCTCAGCCAGGGGGAAGAAGGCTGCTCCCTGTTGCCCCTCAGCCTCTGATGCACCCCTCGGGGAAGGCAGACTCTTCCCCTCTGTCACCAGAGAGGCCAAGTTCTCAGTCTTACTTCTGCGAATGTGGAATAGATTCCGAAAGCACTTTTTAGGTCGTTTCAGGGAAATCCTCTTCCTTGGGATGCTCTTGGCCACAGCTGGCACAAAGGGCATCTGGGGCACGAAGTGGCGGTAGTCAATCATGCGCTGACCGCTGGAGGACCCTGGGAAGCTGGCACTGCCCACCAACTGCCCCACAGCCGCAGCCACCCTGCCAGCCCCGGACACACTGTCATGAGTCTTGCTCTTCCGCACCAGTTTGAAGGAGGTCCCAGCTTCAGGCTCTGGCTGAACCCCCTTGCTAGGGCACCCGTCGTATCCTTGGGTGCTGGGATTGACGTGGGGCAGCCTCTCACCATGGGCCCACTGCTGCCCTCCTGTCAAGACTGAGCAGGAACCTGCATCCTCCCTGGTAGGGCCAGTGGCCTCTGAGTCTGGGAGTTTCTCATGGGAAATCTGCAAGCTGGACTTGATGAAGGTCTTTCCTCGCTTCAACTCCATGCTGCCAGTGGCGCAGCTGCTGTGGAAGAAGATGGAAGACACTTAATACCTGAGGTGGAGGCCTCTGGCTTTAGAAACTCTGCCCACCCTACTTACCTTGGCATTAAAGCTGAGTGGTGATGTCTAAACTTGGATCCTCCATGTAGGCAGGTGACAGGGAGATGGAAACACCCCACACCTGCAGTCACTGTTCCCACCTTTATAGAGAATGGATGCCCAGAGACAAAATGTCACATATCTAGAGACACATGGTGGGAGTCCACATGAGAGGCCTGGGGTCTGGTGTGCTTGCATCGGTGACCTCTTCCCTTGCCCAGGCATTCCTCTCAGAGGTTACCTGGCTGAGCCAGACTCCTACTTCCTAGCCAGGCACTGATCAGAAAGCACCATGTCCTTACAGATGCTTATAGGGAAGCACCTGTCCTTACCTTGCAGGGAAGTCTCATGACCTGGCTGTATGGATAGAGCAGAGGATTCAATAAAAAGGGAAACCAGGGCCCTCCCTGGTGGCTCAGTGGGTTAAAGCACTGCACTAAGAAGCATAAGCCACTTCCTCATGAGTTCGATCCCCGCCTGCCCCGGAGGTGACCCACATGGCGTGGCAGACCTCTCCTGACCCGCCTGCTGCTCCCCTCAGCAGTGTACTTCGTAGATCTGTCTGTTCTGCTCCCCACTCTGTCCCTGATGCAGCCTCTCACCCTCCGCATTTTTGACCTGTACCCCAGTTCTGTATGAATAAATAAATAAATCTTTAAAAAAAAAAAAAAAAGGGAAACCAGGCCCTCCCTGGTGGCACAGCGGGTTAAAGCACTGCACTAAGAAGCTTAATCCACTTCAGCCACATGAGTTCAATCCCTGCCTGCCCCGAAGGAGATCCACACGGCGTGACAGACCTCTCCTGACCCATCGGCTGCTCCCGTCAGCAGTGTGATTCATCCATCTGCCTGTTCTGCTCTCCACTCTGTCCCTGGTGAATCCTCTCACCCTCCGCATCTCTGGCCTGTACCCCAGTTCTGTATGAATAAATAAATAAATCTTAAAAAAAAAAAAAAGGAAACCAAGTTGTGACTTCCTGACCTGATGCGGGCAGACACCACTTGGAGAGAAAGGCACAGATTCACATTGCCCTTCAGGACTGTGCATTAGCTTAGTGATTCCATCTACAAAGCAGGCATCAGGCAGGGTACAGCCAGACATCTGTGGTGAATGCAAAGCTTGAGGATCAAGAAGGAAGAGAGCATTATAACAGGCAATAGAAAACATGAGGCCGTAAACAGGCAGAGTGAATAAAACACTGCTGGGAGTGGGAACAGGGGTCTCCTCTGTGTATGCCCTGGCTGACATATATTGATGCTTTGGGTGTCATACAGGGAGCGTCCTGATACCCAGTCTGAGCTTAATGGGCATGGGTGTTGGGGTGGTTTACTGATGTCTTTCTGGGATGGACGTGGGAAGGTGACAAGTACATCAACATTTGATCATACTTCATGGCTGGGAATTTACCTTTATGTTGAGATCATTGGGAGTTTTCTGTGTGAGGGGTACAAGCAGAGGCATAATGAAGATGGTGGCTTAAGACCATTCACCTGACTTCTGAGTGGAAGACTGAATAATTAGGGAAGGCTCTGAGCAGAAAAAAATAAAACAAAACTTGCAACAGGCAGTAACAATGAGTTGGACACATGAGATTAGGTGTAGATGGAGGCTGCAGTTATTTGCACAAAAAAAGAGGGTTAAAGTTATGGAGCTTTAAAAAAAAAAAACCCACAGGATTTAGTATCTGATTAAGGAAAGAGATGTAGGACCCTCTCTGGAGGTGCAACGGGTTAAAGAGCAGCACTGTAAAAGCTATTGGCAGCCACCTCGGTACAGTTCATTTCCTGGCCAAAGAGGTGACCCACATGGCCAGCAGACTTCTCAATTCTCTCCTCCTGCTCCCCATAGCAGTGTATTTCAGTAAATCTGCCTGATCTGCTCCCCAGTCTGTCTTTGGTGAATCCTCTCAACCCTGCCCCACACCTCTGGTCTGTACCCCAGCTCTGTATGCATAAAAAAACAAACAAACAAAAAAAGAAAGAAAGAAAGAGATGTAGGCCAGAAGTCATACGCACCAAAAAAGAGAGAATTAGGCCAGAAAATTCAAACCAGGTGAGAACAACAATGAGAGATGAGGAAAGTCAAGGAAGCAGGATGCCTAACACATGAGCAAAGGTGAGGGAAGGACCTGATTTGGAGAGAGGAGCAGGGTCTGGCTTTAAACATATTGCATTTGGGGGAAGTTTAGAGACCCACAACATGCCAGACCTCCCTTGGTCCATGTCCTCCCACCCCCTACCCCAAACCCCACCCCCGTCTCTGTCCTCACAGGCACTGGCTTATCTGTGCTGATATATCTGCCTCATCTTGTGGTGAGTAAGGTATAAATGAGTCCTCTGTCTGCCTGGCCAGGTAGAGGTTAGAGAGACAGGTTTTCCACTGGTTTCTCTGACTCTGTAAGGACTGCTCCACAAGAAGCACTTGAATTCACCCCCCTCAGGCCACAACCCATGAGGGACTAAGCCTGCAGGTCTTTCCGACCCAATGCCAGGGAAGCTTTGTATCTCCTTTGGAGAGCTGTGACAGCTCCGCACTGACTAGAGTCAGCTCCAGAAACTCTGAAATGCTTTGACAGGAGGACCCTGAGGTGGGCCAAGCAGTTACCTCAGAGCCCACCTGGCGATGGAAACCAAGCAGGAAGAGCGGCAAAGTTGGCACTGAGGATGCAAAAAGGGAAAGCTGACTGGCCTCCACCCTACTCCCACCCTGGCAGAGCTTCCTCCTCTGCAGAAAGGCACCTGTGAATTTTGGCTGAAGAAGGAGCAGGCGTGCTGCCAAGGAGGTTGTGTAATGCAGGCTTGGCTCTGGCTGTCGCTTAGCGCTTGGTGGCAACACCAGGGACAGTGGACAGTACCTCAAGCTGCCTTTTTTGCCTCTTACCAGATAGTATGGGTCTAAGCCTTTCCCATGCTGCACCTTCATATTCCATTTCTATTTGCCTCAATCCTTGGTGACAAGAGAGACCTTCCCCCAATGTTGAGTGGTTTTGCTATACCCGGCATAGTGGTTATAATCTGGGCTCTGCAGGAGGATTTGAGACTTATTTATACCTACCTAAACAGGTGTTTGCACCATGAACTTATAAGGAACATATTATGTTCATTTTACAAAGGAGAAGTTAAGATCCAGAAAAGGTAGTGCATTGACCCAGTTCACACAGATGGTAAGTGGTAGAGCAAGGATTTGAACCCAAGATTCTGAACCTGTGCAATTAACTGCGATAGGCAGCTTTCATGGGAAATCTTAATATAGAATACAAATGTGTGTTGTGAGGACATTTTCATAGTATAATGGAAATGAATGTAAGTGTAGCTCAGAAAAAGTTAGAGAAGTTATAACCAAAGGTTATATAATTTCTATGACAAGAAATTTTGGCAATATTCATTATGAGGCTACATTTGCACCAATACCTTCTGTTTTAGAAATCATCTTTCATTGCCATACTCTTGGAGGTAACTTTAGTCAACTATGATAAAGACTTCACTGTATACAGAAATTTGCAACTATAAAAATTAAGATGGTTTATTTGATATGCATCTCTAGAAATAAAAACACGTAATTCTCAGAAAAGTTAACAGTCAAAATCACAAACAGTTGGACACTTCAACAAACTCTAAAGTTGGAAAATAATCCTTCAAAATGGTTATTGTTATAGATAACTGGACTCAGTGTCACTAATATTGCCAGCCCTGTTTTCTGAGTGCACTAGTCATAATGTTCATCCATTGGACAAGAAGCACGAAGGTCAAGAACAAAGTATTGGAGCAATCATGTGCAGCCTAGTATGTATCTGGTTTAGTCAGAGCCCAAACTTAGAAATGTGGGGCCCAGAGGAGACATAGGTAGGAACTCTAAGTGAGTAGAAGGTCCACTGCTCACCTGAAGGCAGACTAAGCAATCATCTTCCATGACAGTTTCAGGGCAGAAAAGGATTTATCTAGATGTTGCCATTGTTATCACCTGAGAGCAGAGGCCAAGTGTGTCCAGGTCCTTAGTTGCAAAAATGCACAGTCTTTTTTGTTACCCTGTGACTAAAGACACCCTCTCTTTGGAGCCCAGCTGGAAGCCTGGTAGTCCCCAACCATGTGCTATGCCCTTACAAAGCACACCTGTTCCTCTGAAGGGTTGATTATGTCTTATCCATAGTGCCCTGTGGTCACTAACTGCTCATTTTGATTCTTACTTGACCTGCTTGCTTTCCAATGAAGCTGAAAATTTTCTAAAGTTCAGGTCTTAACTGTAACAGACTGTGAGCAATCACAAATTTAAATCAAGTATTTATGTGTATGATATACTTGGCTTGGAAGTGTTGATTCTGCTAACACAGTTTGTGCACATTTCTTCTAAGACCCTGGACTGAGTCTTTCATCTCTAAAATGAACTTATAATTTCAAGAAAACAGGGAGTACACACACCATATACATACACACATACATACGTACATATATATATATATATATGTATGTATGTATCATCAGTGCTGTTTCATGGATGTACTATTTAAACTAAGACCTAGAAGACAGCTGAAGACAAAAAGACAAAAGATATGGGAAGCAAATTCCAGGCAGCCAGAATTCAGCAGAAAGGCTCCAAAGAAAAAGGGAGGAAGAACATTTATATATATCTGAAACTGGAGCAGGGTGGCTAGAATAGCAAGTCAGTGGAATGAAACCTAGAACTGAACAGGGCAGATCATGTCTGGCCTGAGGTAGTAGCCTCCACCGTACGTGTCATGGGCAGTGCCCATCATCAAGGATGAGAGACATGGGCCAGTTTTCAGTTTTAACATTACTCCATTGTAGGTGAAAATGGATTGTAGGGGCAAGAGTGTGGGCAAGAGAACAGGTCAGGAAATGTGGTGGAAAGCTCCCATTTGTTTAAACCTTCCCTCTCAGTGGCTCACCCAAAGCGTGCACATGCAAATGAATTTATTGCAAATTGAGCAAATGAAACAGTTCTACTGGCTGCTTTTCTGTGTGATGACTAACTTTAGCGCAACTGCTTAGGATTTTCTCTCTTCCATTTGAAAAGGTAATTCTGTGCTTTTCTTTCCTTTTTGACATGAAACATGACTGGATGTTTCATGGAGCAAGATAAAAGCTTTTGAGGAGCATGGATACAACAAAACCATTTAGATATATAAAATTTTTAACTAATAGTTTTGGGATTTGCCATTCCTTCCCCTGCCCCACCCCCAATATTCAGGCAAATCACCAGCAGATATACAAAGAGGTGACTGGTGATAAGAAGAAGAAGCCTCTGAGGAGAGTCCCACTCAGGGACTTCCTGATGGGGTGGAGGCTACCTATGGGGCAATAGTGCATTTCTGTAGTAGGCTGCCTGTCTAAGCCAAAACCTTTAGGCAGGCGTAAAGGCCATTGTGGGTAGGGAAAGGCTCTGTATTCCCAGGAGGGTTTGGGGTGGGGGATGAAGCAGAAAGAGAATCTATTGAGAATATCACCAATTTACCTAACACCCATGTTGGGGAAACAAAGGACCCCTTGGGGAGCGAAGGTCCTAGACCACCCTCTAAGGGAGTGTCTCTGGGCGTTCCTAGCCTGCCAGTCAAGAGATGAGTCTCCGGTCTTAACCGTTATTTTCCAGCCCCGTGTCCACGGGCAGTTTCTCCCTTCCTCTAGCCCAAATCTTAAGGGTCATCATCTCCAGACCCCAAACCTCGTACTGTCAGCACCGGGAAGCATGGGGTGGAGGAAGTGGGGACCCAGGTTCCTCCACTCAGTGCTTCCATAGCACGAAAGAACGCACCGAATTTCCCAAATCATCTCCCTCTCCCTGAAGCCTACCTCCCTGGGGCCTTGGTGACTTACCTTTGGGGCCAGGACTGTCGCAGGACTCGGCCTTGGCAGGGTTAGGAGCCGCGCCCGAGCCCGAGTCGCGCGCTCAGCACCACGGTCAGTTCCCGGCGCCGCGCGCCCCCGCGGGTGGGGAAGGTGGGGGGAGGCCGAGGTTTCGTGCTTGCTCGCGGCGGCTGGGGGCGCTGGGCCTCATCGGCCCGAGGCGGGCAGGCCAGGGTTAAGCCGGTAGAGCGCGACAGGGCGGGGGCGGGGCGGGGTGGGGAGGCAGTCAGGCTCCGAGGCGCCCCCGAGCTGTTCCCGGCGAGGTGTCGCGCGCTCAGGCTGGGGTGGGGGCCGCTCCAGGAGGGCTGCCACCTCGGTGAGCCGCCGCCGCCGCCCAGACCTAGTTCGGTCTCGCTTTGTTCGTGTTTCTCTCCGTCTCTATCTCTGGATGTCTCTGCCTCTCGCAGGGCTGTGATTTTGCGTTCACAGCCTGAATGCTCCCCAGACTGATAGCCGTAATCAGCCCTATTCCTGTTCCAAATTCTTGTGCAGTGATCCGAACGCATAGGAATGGGTGTCCCCACCCCCTAATCCAGGGGCTCTTGGGCAGAGCTAACTCCAACCCCCTCGGATGTGCCCATCACACGTCCTCTAATCATGAATCCTACCCAGGATTTGGATAGGACTTGAAAGAAGGGGCTGGCTAATCTCGAGATGGAGGGCAATCTTCCAGAGCCTTCTTCACAGAGAGCCTTTCTAGGACCTGATTATATTAATAATGGTAATGAGAGAAAGCTTCCCCTACAGGTACTCGCTGTGTGGGGTGTGCTAGTGCTGTATCCTGCCGCAGTCTTGGGGGAGGAGCAGAAACGTGTGGACTCCAGAGCTGCCAACTGAGGGGACGCTCTGAGGGTGGAGGGCAGGAATAAAGTATGAATTAAGGAACTCCCGGGTGGTTCAGGGAGCTTGCCACACACGTGAGGGAGGAATATGTGTGGAAAGGAGCCTTTGCTCAACTGATGCTGTGAGGGAGTTGATCTCATGTGTGTGTGGTTGAGGGGGAGGCAGAGTATGGAGTGGGGGTATTGGTAGTGGCAAGGGGGCTCATCCTATGTGCAGAGGTGAAGACGTGAAGGTAGTGAACCCTGGGAGGAAGGATGCAGCTATTATCCAATTCCAGGCATGGAATAAGGCTCAAGGGAGGTCAGAGCTTGAGCAGATGAGAAAGCCTTATCTTTGAGTCTGATGGATTCCCACAATGTCTCCCCATGTCCAGAAAGTCTCTCTCCACACATACAAGATATCCCACCTAATTCGGACTGGCTTTGTCCTAACTTGTCGTCAGACTTCTTAATGATTAGTCACCTTGAGGTTAAGGCACCCCAGAACCAAGAGACAGGTCCACCTCAGTATCCCCCTCAACGTTAGTATAAACCACATTGCACTTGTTACTTGACCTTCCTTCTACCAGGGGACTGCCTCAGCTTGACTCCAGATGTGCTCACTGATCCTTGTGGATGTTATGGTCCCACCCATTTTTGGCAGTTTCTGGTCATTATTTCCCGTATCAATTCTTCTTAGGTGGAAACAAAGGCAGAGCTATGCCTCATAGTCTTGTTCACCCAAATCAAGGCTATGACTGTCACAGATGCTGCAGAGAGCCCTTCATAATGTTAATAAACTGTACTTTCATCTATTATGATCTCCCTTCTTCTGTGTTGCAAGAGCTTGCAATATAATTTTAATCAACGAATTACAGATTTTCTTCCTACATGTCTTGCTTTATAGTAGGCAGTGACATTGAGATCCATTGCATATTATGAAACATTTACAGGAAAATATTAAAATTAACTCATGCATGAAAGGCGAACTGTGTAGGAATGTGGGTCCGTTCTTTGCACCCAGAAGGCGAACAGGGAACTAAGATAAGGAGCCTCTCAGGGCAAAAGTCCTGGTATGAGGAAACACATGCTGAAAGCCTCATGTTCAGATATAGCCTCAGGTGATATGCTTAGACCCACATCTACACTCAGAGCCCCAGTGTTCTGCCTCTGTCCACTCAGCTGTGGTAGGTACCCAGGGGTTACTGGGCCCCCAGTTGTTCATGCATTTTCTGCTTGCTTGCCTGCTCTTTGATTTTTATCTTCTCTATTTCACTCAGTAACAGTGAGACTGCCTCTGGCTCCAAAACTGCTTGGACTCTGAGTCATTTTCTCATCCTGTGCTGGACACTCTAACAGGCAATGCTGGGGTGAAATAAATAGGATTTTTCAGAAATCTCTACTCCAGTGCCCTCAGCACACAAGAAGAGAATCAAAACAAGTAGCAAAGATTCCTCACTCGATAGAATTGGAAAGGGGAGGGGACCCAGGATGAAGTTGGCAGAATGAAAGGGAAGAGATGTTAGCAGCACAGCTTTAATTACTGACCTATTCTGAATTAAATATCCCCTTCTATGCCTAAATTCTCAACAATGCAAATTTTAGGATATTCCTTGAACTAAAATTAGAAAATACCTTGACAGTAAAAGTAGTGTTTTTGCTTAAGTTTCATAAGTCTTTTTCCCAAGAAGCCCTGAGGTGGAGTCCAGCCTGTTCTGGAATCAGACGCCGTCACTGCAGCCATCAAACCTCATGAAAGCTTCATAAACATCACCCTTATACATGGGCCAGATTTGGGAGCTCCTTTGGCCAGAGGCAAAGCAGAGTCATCTTGTGACTTTCTTTGGGGAGCAGCAGTACTCTCTTTATTCCCCCTCACTGTACTGGGCATGAATCAAAGTATCCTTTATTTTGGGATTAATGATCTGTGGCTTGGCACTAATGTTTGCTGTGACTTTCTTCTCGATGGTGACACAATCTGTCTTGTGTCACTGAATCAAGTTGGATGGAGCTGAGGGAAGAACCCACATGGGCTAGGTCTGAGTAGAGGCATTAAAGGAGGGTGCCTCATGTGCAAGGTGGAGAGATACCCTAGAGGTGCAAGGACTGCCAGGGTGGGGGCTCATGGAGGCAGAGAGTCAGGAGGCAGATCTAGATGTGGATCTGGGGGAGCACAATGGGGCCAGCCTGGTAGTTGTCTTACAGGTAGATGTTGGGGTAAAGGCACTCAGAATCCTAGCATTAAAAGGGGACTTCTGAGCCCAGTGAGTGGCACAATGGGTAAAGCATAGCACTATCAAGATAGCCACAGCCTCCTAAGCACCAGTTCAACCCCAGGCCAAGGAGGTGACCCACATGGCACAGCAGACTTCTCCTGTCTCCCCACTGCCCCCTCAGCAGT